GAAATGATAGAGGAGGAGAATATTGGGCACCATTTGAAGAATTTTGTTTCGAATATGGAATCATTCATCAAACAACAGAACCTTACTCACCTCAATCAAATGGTGTTATTGAACACAAAAATCAAATTATCAAGGAAATGATGAATGCAATGTTTATAAGTTCGAGCTTACCCCAAAACATGTGGGGGAAGCTATACTTTCAACAAAGAACATTCTTAACAAGATACCTCAAAATAAAATGGATGAAACTCTATATGAATTATCGAAATGTTATTCTCTTTCTTATAAACACTTGAAAGTGTAAGGGTTCTTAACGAAGGTTGAAGTACCTAAACCGAAACAAGTTAAAATTGGGCTTAAAACAATTGATTTCATATTTATTAGATACATCAATAATAGTAGTGTATATTGATTTTTTGTTCATAAGTCTGACATTCAAGACATACATGAAAGCACCATACTTGAATCGAGAAATGTTTCCCTTTTCGAAAATGTCTCCCCATGTAAAGACTAGGAAAGAAGTTAAAATAAATGAACTTATGAAACTGTAAATGTTACTATAAAAGATGTAGAACCAATGTGCAGTAAAAAAGGTTGAACTCTATTTCATATAGTCATGATTTTCTAGCTTATATGGTAAAAATGATCTGAAGACAATTAGTGAAGTAATGCCTATCTATAATGGAAAGTAATACTTGGGAATTGGTTGATTTACCATATGGAAATAAGCTTTTAGGGTACAAATGGATTTTCAAGAAGAAATTAAAACCGAATGGATTCATGGACAAATATCAGGCTAGATTGGTTGTCAAAGGCTATAGGCAAAAAGAAGGATTTGACTTGTTTGATACTCACTTTGATAAGGTTGTTGCTGCACAATATAACCCTGAGATTCATCAAATAGACGTGAAAATGAGATTTTTGAATGGTGAGTTACAAGAAGAAAAATACATAGAGCAACCTCAAAGGTTCATTGCTCTTAACCAAGAACGAAAAGTTTGTAAACTTGTTAAGTCCCTATATGAGTTAAAGCAAGCTCCAAAGCAATGACACCAAAAGTAAGTACACTTTGTTAAAAATAAGGTTGAGCCGGTGCTTCAACTAAAGTATTCACAGGTTATA